ACAATCGAGCAGCTTGGAACCAATTCCCTTTTCTTCTCTTCTCCCCTCCTTCTCCTTTGCAAATGTTGAGTTTGCATCCAATGCCTGCCTTCGAAAGTCTCCGTCATTTTCATACATCCCAGGGATTGGACAGCATATGCCTGCAAAGTCCTAGAAAGCGTACGCAAACCGCAGCATCAGTTCTCTTGTTACTATGTGAGAAGTTTGATGCTCTGGCAGATCAGCTCTTGTGCAACCTGGTCATCAGATTTGTGCATTTTAGTGGCTGCGGGTTAAAACCGGCATCTTTGCCGAGCCTTTGGCCCACCCAGAAGAGCCACACCGGGGAGTTTACCATATGCGATTCGTGCAAAAAGTAGATTTAAAGTAAAAACAACCCACTTTTGCCAGTTGTTTTTCACATGAACCCGAACAGAAAGTAGGCAAAACCCGCAATTGCAGGTTGATTTTCAGATGACATTTGCGTGAAAGAGAAATAACACAAAAATAACCCAAACAGAAAGCTCACAAAACCGGCTCCTTTTTACTTTCGGGATGAAAGGCGTTACAGTAGGCATTGCACAATGTTGTTGCCCTGTGACTCCCATTATCCTTTGGCCATGCTGGCTGGGGCTGATGGGGGTTGCTGTCCAACAACATCTGGAGAACCACACAACTCCCAGCCCTGACCTACATCAATGGGGGGAATCTTTTGCATGCCTTTCTTCAGCTGCAAACACATTTCTTGGGCAGGTTTGGCTTCGTACAGGCAGGCAGGCGGGCAGGGGCTTAGACGTTGCAGCTAATGCATACTACGCTGGGACATCTTATACTCCCTTCTTTATTGATCCTTGCTTTTGCTAAGCTTGAAGCCTCCCTGCTGGTGGAAGAAGGACTTGGGTCCTCTTTACGGACATGCACTCTGCAAAGTTTGCTCTGCGGCCCTTTCTTCTGCCGTGAATTGGATTAGAGGAATTAATCAGCCATTTCAAAGAGGTCTCGACCCTCCCTGCTTTTTGGGATTAAAGAAACTCCTGCCAGAGCTGTGAGCCACTATTAATTGCTTCTCCTGGCTGCCAAAACCCTCACTTTCCTGGCTTCCTAGCAGTGGAAGAGAAGAGAGCTTCCTCTGCCTTCAGAAGCAGGCAGGACAAGGATGAGATTATTCTATCATTCATTGACAGAACTGTGCTCCAGGGGTGTAACTATAGGAGAACCAGGACTTTGGAGTCGGAGTCATAAGCAATTTGCACTTTAAATTTCTAACAACAATTTACATTTCTACTGACTCTGACTCCCACTTCAAAATGAAACATCTACAGTGACCCCTTGGTATCCACTGGATTTGGTTCCAGGACTCCCCATGGATACCAAAATCCATGGATGCTCCAGTCCTATTAAATAGAATGACAAAGTAAAACAGTGCCCCTTGTATAAAAATGGCAAAATTAAGGTTTGCTTTCGAGCATTAATACATTTTTAAAATATTTGCATGGTTGAATCCGTGGATACAGAGGGCCGACTGTACTATTAAATGCAAATGTGGTGTAGTGGTTTGAGCATTCGACTTACTATTTTGGAGACCAGGGTTCAATTCCTCAATCGGCCATGGGAACGCACTAGGTGATCTTGGGTGTGTTACATATTCTCAGCCTCAGAAAATCCTGCGATAGGTTCACCTTAGGATTGCCGTAAGTGAGAAACAAGTTGAAGGTACACCTCTCTCTCTCTCTTTTCTCTTTCTCTTTCTCTTTCTCTCTATATATGTATGTATCTGTATGTATGTGCAAATAATAAATAAATAAGCCTTTTTGCGCCACTGCTCCCCCCCCCCCCAGTTTCCCCAACCACCGTTTTTCAAGGCCAGTGTTGGAACCGGAAATTTGCATTTTAAGCACAGTGTGGAATTTGAATGCCCAAATTAGGGCACTTTAGGTTTGCTGGCATCTGTCAGATGGTTTCATTTGGGCAGGTGTCAAATATGAAACCTCACCAGCGGTCACCTCTCAGATGGTAAATCCGATTAGACACAGGCTCCAGTACACACAAGCATGAATGTCACTCAGTATCTAATCGCACAACAAATCCCGTTTGTCTCTGTGATGGATGTCACAGAAGAGAGTGATACTAACAAGAATCTCTCCCTATTTATCCCCAATTCTAGAATTTGCAGTTCCCCAATCTTGTTTGGGAGATAGCACTGTCATCATCGTGGTCCACCGTCTTTCCATTTGCGATCCCTGGAATTTGTTTAAGGCGCTACATCTCTAGAGGTTGTTTCCTTGGGTGTGTTTCCTCCACTCCTCCCTTGCCTTTCTGGTTATCTATGCGCAGCTGCACATGTGTGCATGGATTAAAACAGCATAAAAGGAGGGGATTTTAATGCAAGCACAGCATTAAGCATCGGGATTCGGCTTCATGCTGTGATTTAATCAATGCATACATGCGCAACTGGAGCATGAAGAGATACCCATCGCGATTCCTGTTGGCGTTGTGTTTTAATCAATGGGCGTATGCACACCTGCACATGGGTGAGCTGAAAGGAGAAAAAATACGATTGGAAAATGCAGCAGAACTGTGCTCCCACCACCTCTGGTTTTTGTTTTTGATATTTAGATATTTAGATATTCAGGATAAAGTAGGAGGCAGGTGGAGTGGAAGGTGGAGTAAAAGTACTCACAGTACAGATCGACAACCACATGGAGCTAGGCATGCCCACTCACTCTTTGGTGGATTGCTTTTGCTTGAGCCGCCTGGGTCCTTTGACCTATAATGTTCAATTCACGTGTAACTATCCCCCGACAGGCGCAGATGTCCTCGAGAGATGAGCACGCACGTTTGAACCCAACCCAGGGCGGCAGGCAAATCTGATTTCATCTCAGAAAAGAGGAGCATCTTTGGCCAAATTGGGGAAAATATCACAAGGCTGCTGTATGGGACACACACATTTATCTTGTCTTGCCAGCCATATTGTTACCATTGTGGTATAAAGATTTAAATTGTAGTGGTTGAAAATGATGCTCAAATTCAGGGATGCTTGGAGGACCAGAGCGGCACACACAGCATGCTGTAGGGAAGTTGTTCTTCAACAATGGTGGTATTCATCCTCGAAAGGAGACTCACGGATCAGGGCCAGCACAAGACCAGTATCAGGATGGGACTAAAGGTCCATCTACACTGTAGAAATAATGCACTTTGACTCCACTTTAAGTACTGTAGCTCCATCCTATGGCATCCTGGGGTTTGTAGTTTTACAAGTTCCTCAGCCTTCTCTCACCAAATTAGAAATCCCAGGATCCCATTGGATGGAGCCATGACGGTTAAAAAGGTATCGAACTGTATTATTTCTACAATATAGATGCACCCTAAGAGTAGCATTAGCCAATTCTGGTCCTCATCTTCATTCTCTTGGCCTTAACTTTCCTTGCCATCCAAAATTTGCCATTCCCCCAACCTGGTGCCCTCCGGATGTGTTGAGCGCCATGCCCATCATCTCCCTTGGTTCTTCCAGCTGGGGCTGATGGGAGCTGCAGTCCAGCACATCTGGAGAGCACCAACTTGGGAAAGCCTCTTCTATCCAGTCACCTACATCTCCCCCACCTTGACACAGCAGGAACTTTAACACAGTTAAAGAAATGGATTGCATAGGCGAGACAGATACAGCTTTGCTGTTTCCTCAATTCCTAGTAGATTGCAGGATGCCCTTGTACTGTATAAACATTACATTATATTCATTATTATTTTTTGCAAAAGCAGCATTAACTTCTGGTCCCTTGGGTTCTTGCTGGGGGGACTTTTTTCAGTCTATGTGGTCTTTGGATGCAAAACCTTGGCCCATGGTTCCTGCACCTTGGTCCACCCGGGGATCATAGAGAGTATCAATATCATGGGAGGCAATTTCCTCTCATCCTTGCCATATTACTTCTGAATGTCTTCTCCCACCCCTCCTTTCCTTCTCCCATTCTCTCTTTCCCCCCTTTGCTTTGGTTTTGGCTGTGATGAGAATTGGGTCAGTGAGGTAACCATGGCAATCCTTAAGCAAAAGAGAGTCTACAATCCCAGCTCCCTCCTTCTCTCCACATCATCTCTCTGTCTCTGTCTCTCCTCTTGCTTTGGAGATCCGCTAGTCTGTTTTTAGCTAGCTGCCTTTGGGGGTCTCTGAGTCCCCTCCATTTGGAGACCGGGTGCATATGAGCCTTTGGAGAGAGAGAAGGTGCCAAGGCGAGAAGCTGGTGAGCACCCAGTTTCCATGATCCAGAGTACGCTTGGATGCAAACAGACCCATCTCTAGGTAAGCAGACTCCATCATCTTCTCCTTTCAAGCACAGAGACTGATTTTTGCATTTGTTTTAGAGGGGTGTGGAAGGGGAGAAAGGGAGAGGCACCCTCTTTGCACCATAAGGCTTGCCAATGGCAATCATTCGGGGCTTGACCAGGTTGGTATTGTGGTTGAGTGCTGCAAGAAAAGCATCCTCCCCTCCAGCCGCACCCCATTCTAGACAGCTGAGGCTCTCTGAGCATCATCTCTTCTCCAAACTGAGCCTGTAGTAAGATTGCAATTGGTGCATGAGCATCTTGATTCCCCAACCGCCCTCCTTGGGGAAGAAAGTGCAAGCTCTTCCTTTGATATCAGACAGACCAGTATTCTCCAAAGGATCCATGGAGAGATGATGGTGGTGCTCATGGGGAGAAGGATGACAACATCAGCAGTAGCAGCCATGGTTCTATATCGTGGTCTACATTTTGTCACTTTACGCATCCTTCTGGTTGTTGTTGTGTGCCTTCAAATCATTTCCGACTGATGGTGACTCTATGACGGGGGTTTGTGGCAAGATTTGTTCCGAGGAGGTTTGTCATTGCCTTCCCCTGAGGCTGAGAGAGTGTGACTTGCCCAAGGTCACCCAGTGGGTTTCGTGGCTGAGCCGGGAATTGAACCCTGGTCTCCAGAGTTGTAGAACAACATACAAACCATCATCCCACACTCACTCTCAAGGGCATTTTACCCCATCACCCAATGGGTATGACCAAGAGGGGATTTGAACCCTGGTCTCCAGAATCCTAGTCCAACATTGAAACCACTGTGCCACACTGGTCCTCATCCTAGTGAATGGGAAAGATGGGAATCAGGGCACTGGCAAGAGTGTCCAGAAGTGCGTCAGGCTTTATTGGTGTGCCTTTGCACTCCCTAGCTGGTGTCCTGGTGTGCATTGGGTGGGATATACCAATGGGCACCAGCAGTCCCTTGGCATTGTTTGGGTGGACATTGGGAGTGTCTGATCTGCATCGGTGTCTGTTTCGCATCCCGATGTGCATTGGTCACTTTTCTGGCTGCTCTATGTAGTAATATCATTGCACCCCTTGCCAAATACTGATGGTGCAAAATTACTCAATTCTATTCCCTGCTGATGTATGTCCACTTGAATAGATGTAAATCTCACATTGAATTCCAACCTTGACACAGGCCTGAAAAATGTGAGGGTCATAAAAACTGTTTTTTAAAATGTATTCGGGTTTTACAGGGATTTGGCATTCTCGATCCAAAAACAACTTCAAATTTGCTCCTTCACAGGCAGTTTTCCCCACAACTCACTGTGACGTTTTGGTGTTGCAGTATCAATTCTGCAAAGAATTACCATGCAAAGAGTAAGAAAGGGGTGAAAGTCTAGAGACTTAAAAAAAAACCCGCTTTAATTTGTTGATGTGAAATGCAAAAAAAATCCATTCAAAATCGTTAAAAGAAATTGCACTTGGAACATCAGCATCCACACTTAATCAAAGCTGAGTAATAAATGATTTGATTTAAAAAAAATTGAATATGTGAAAGGAACTGTGAATGGTCCGACTTTTTGATTGTGTGTCTCAAATTCAGCACCCAAAAATGCACTCAAAACAACTTCTTTTTCAAACCCTCTCCTCCTTTTTTTATTTGTTTTGAGCAGCGAAAGGTGGATATGGAAGGCACTTCCATGCCAGTAGGGCATTGGATCCATTATGGGTTTTTCAAGCAAACCTTACATGAGTTATGAACCAACGGTGATCGGAGGCTTCCATGCTGAAGTGCCATGATTCCACTTGGGGTTTTTATGCCATCTTTCAAAGGAAATGAGCTACTCAGAGTGCAGAACCCTGTACTTGAAATAGGTTCAGCACCTCTGATAGCTTCTTCAAAGTTTGGATTAAAACCCTGAGCAGATTCACTGCTTCAATGGAACAGAAGCTGCCAGCCATCTTTGTGGGTAGGAAAGATGGTGAATCAAGAGGTTTTTGTGGGTGCAAGAGTTGGGGTGAATAAATTCAGTACCCTTCAGGTGTCCCCAGTAGCCACTTTGACTTATGTTGACCCTAAGGTATGGGGATTTCTTGGCAAATTTCTTCAGAGGGGGTTTGCCATTGCCATCCTCTGAGGCTGAGAGAGTGTGACTCACCCATGGTCACCCCGTGGGTTCATGGCTGAGCAGGGATTCAGACCCTGTTTTCCAGAATCATAGTCTAATGCTCAAACCACTATGCGACATTGGATCTCCAGGTTCTCCTTAGGGTCACCATAAATCAGAAAAGTCTTGAAACAACAAGGTGAGAAAACCAGACAGTGCGGTCCTACTTGTGTCTACTCATCGGTAAATCAATTCCAATGAATTTGGTAAATGCATACAGGATTGGAACCCAAGAGACTGTTTGCAAATGTTGTTAAGCAAAAGTAGATGTCCATGGGAGCTTCTTATTAAGAGCAGCCAGATGTGTGTGTATGTGTGTGATCTTCATCAGAACTGTGGCTGTGGAGGAAAGGGTTAAAACACACACACAAACACACACACACACACACAACACTACATGTAGTCCTGACCTGGATTGCCTCTCACCATTCCCATCTCTGATCATTTGGCGCTAAGGAAAATTATAAGACTTGGCCTAAGACTAAAGGTACACCTATATTGTAGAAATAATGCAGTTTGACACCACTTTAAGTCCCATAGCTCCATCCTACAGAATTCTGGGATTCATAGTTTGGTGAGGCACCAGCATTCTTTGACAGAGAAGGCTAAAGACCTTGTAAAACTACCAATCCTGGGATTCCATAGGAAGGAGCTACGGCACTTAAAGTGGTGTCAAAGTGCATTATTTCTACAGTGTAGATGGACCCTAAGACTTGGCCTTAATTGTAAGACTTGGCCCTAACACAACTTGTAACTTTATAAGATAAAGTCTTAAAATTTGGCCCTATGACACCTTAGCCAAGCTGACCCTCTCCAGATGGATTGGAATCTGGAGCTTCAGCCAAACTGAAGGATGATGAGCATTGCAGTCCAACACATCTGGAGGGTGTCAGCTTGGGCAAAGCTACCCAATGCCTTCAGCATCACTTTCCCTTGAAGGCAAGGAGATATCCTTCCAGATAAACACGCTGCCAAGAAAACTAAAGATCTGGTTGCCAAAAGATTCAAGGAAGCAAATAACATCTGAGTGAGAGCATTATTGCTATCTCCCTGATGCTTCAGAAAAAAGATATGTGCGATTCTGGAGGTAAATTTATGATGGCAGCGGAGACGGTGATAAAGAGGTTGTGTGTTGTTTGAAAAGCATGCAGATGTCTCCAATACATTGCTTAAAAGAAAGGGAATAAAGTCATTAAGAGTGAAGGCTTGCATCAACATCCATCGGTTAAATGGAAAAAAAAACATTTAAATTGGTTAGATGACTTAAAAACCTTTCGGTCAACTAAAAAGGTTCATTATCTGAGCTGGAGATTTTGATTTTGATTTTTTTTAAAAAATAGCTTAATCATTTCAGTACTTCAGCCTGAATCTTCTTGTTAGTCTCATCTCACCTCAGTTCACAGAATCAATTCAATCTAATTCATTGTTGTTGACTCTGGAGTTGACACTGAAATCCAAGACAGGGCTGCTATCCCATTAACAGTTCTGCCCAGAGCTAACTGTGTTGGCCATATTTTGTTGTTGTGTGCCTTCAAGTTGTTTCAGACTTATGGTGACCCTAAAGTAGTTCTATCATGGGGTTTTCTTGGCAAGATTAGTTCAGAGGAGGTTTACCATTGCCTTCCCCTGAGGCTGAGAGATTGTGACTTGCCCAAGGTCACTCTGGGTTTCATGGCTGAGTAGGGATTCGAACCCTCGTCTCCAGAGTCATAGTCCAACACTCAAACTACTACACCATGTCCCTAAGGTGAATCTATATATTGAGTTTTCTTGGCAAGATTTGTTCAGAGGAGGTTTGCCATTGCCTTCCCCCAAGGCTGAGAGATTGTGACTTGCCTAAGGTCACTCTGGATTTCATGGCTGAGCTGGGAATCAAACCCTGATCTCCAGAGTCACAGTCCAATACCTAACCACTATGCCACACTGGCTCTCTGTAGGCCATATAGCAAAGTACAATAACATCCCAACCCCGCAAAACAGTGATAACTTTAATTGAAACAACCAAAATGCTCAAAACACATGCTGCAAGCTTTCGAAGCTCCACTGGCTTCTTCATCAGGCAGAGGTGCATCCGGCATGGAGAGGGATCAGTATTCATATGGCTAGAAAGGGCCTGGATATCCGAATACCAATACCCCTCCATGCCATCTGAACTGAGGACAACAACCACAACATCTTGACAAAATGCAAGCCTATGACTAACATTGTCCTCTCTTGTTTTCCTCTTGCATGATTTTCAGTACCTTTGCCTGATGAAGAAGCCACTGGAGCTTCAAAAGCTTGCAACATGTATCATTGTTTTGTGGGCTTTGGATGTGATTGCAAGAGAAGGTCTACTGTAGAGAAAGGTGTTGCACCCATTCGAAAGTGAAGGGCTTGGGATAGATAATAGGGACCTACAATGAAAAGCAAAGGAGTTCATGATCCTATGGTGCTTGGACCAGAGATGCTCTTTAGTCTGGGAAATGAAATGAATCTGATGTACCGGTAAGTAAGCCGCAGTGAAAATCTCATGCCAGCAGCTTAAAAGGCGCTTCTGATTAAGAGCAGCTATGTTTAAAAGGCATTGGGATTGTTTTAACTGGTTTAAGAGGCATGCCTTCCACTCGGCAAACGCCGGGATTGCAGTCCCCTGAAGGGTGCTACAGATCTCAGCACCTTCACCAAACTACACTTCCCAAGCTGCTTTGGGAGAAAACTGAATTATGTCAGCAGTCTTTTTGATGCTACAGGTCACAGGAACCCCAGGAGATTGGGCAGGCTGAGGTTTGAATACCTTTTCACACATTAGGTAAGCCCCGATCAAATATCTGGTTTGGTTTAATATTTATATGAGAGCCAGCATGGTGTAGTGGTTTGAGCCCTGGACTGCGAACCTGGACCTGGGTTTGAATCCTTACTTAGACATAGAAACCCTCTGAGTAACCTTAGGCAAGTCACACTCTCTCAGCCTCAGAGCCAGTCAAAGGCAAACCCCTCCCCTAAATGAATCTTGCCAAGAAAACTTGCCAAATGATAGGTATCACTTGCCAAGTGATAGGTTCACCATAAATCAGAAATGACTCAAAGGTACAGATCAACAACAACAAATTTGGTTTGGGTTTTGTCTGCTGTCCTTCCAAGTTATTTGAAGCTATCAGAATTAATGGCAGGCAGCTTCTAGTGGGTGAGATCCTACATCAGAAAGATATGATGTGACGTTACATTCACAGAATTATACCTCGGTTGCCCTACGTCACCTTATTAGAGAATTGCAACATTTCACAAGCAATGCTTATGGAAGACTGATGCTCAAAGCAGAAGCATGCATCACTTGCCATCAGTATGTGTAAATGCACAGTGCACCATAAAGGTCAGTGGCACTGCATGTGTGTCGCTGTTTTTGTAAAATATGGCCATTCAGCCTGGGCCAAAACCCTCTACCCGCTTGCGTAAGGGAACAGGTATCTGCAACAGTCACCAAAAGGATGATTGCCATTGCTTTCCTGCCCTGATTCCCTACAAAGTGGTTTATGTATCCAAAATGTGCACATCATATATTCCCTTTAAAAGCTGCCTTGGGTGTCATGCACATCCCAAATACCACTTGAGGAAAGGACCCAAAAGAGCCCAGTTGCATGTACAGTGGTCCCTTGATATCATCTGGAGTTTGGTCTGATACCCAAATCCGTGGATGCATAAGTCCGATTCAGTACAATGACAATAATGAAATAGTATCCCTTATACAAAATGGCAAAAACAAGGTTTGCTTTTTGGAAGTTGCATTCTCCTTTTTAATATCTTCAAACCATGGACGGTTGCATCTGTGAATAAAGAATCCGTGGATGTGGAGGGCGTAAATGGAGTAAATGAAAACCAAAGTGGACGAATGAAGAATGAAGGGTCCCATTATTTTGACTATTACATTACGCCTTAATTTCCCCCGCCGCGCTAAGTACTGCTTTGCCATTTATGATCGGCTTGGGAAGAAAGGTCTCCTGCCTCATTGGTTTTCAGGAGAAGAGAACAAGCGACCTGCTAACCCATTTTGCGGCACCGGCTGGTTTGCACTCTTGAGCAGCAGCCAAATCTTTGATTGAAAGACTGGCGAGTCAGGTCTATTTATCTAAATTTCCTGGGGAATGGCTGATATACAAGGCTAACTGAAGGCTGGGGGTGGTATTGGTGATTATTTCAATTCCATGTACAAGCCCTATTAGAAACAGAACCGGGATCCTTTAGGGAGGAAATGCAAAGAGGTTGTGGGCCCACTTTGTTCTGAGCTTGGGGGGAAAATGCTCAATTTCATCTTGCAGCCAGACTTGCCAAGCAAGCCAAAGGGGAGTTTGAATCATTTTTTCCTCCAATACCTTCCAACATTTCACAGATGGAAACTGGGACACTTGTGGGCAAGCAACAGCAGAGTGTGCTCAAGATGGCAAAAGTTATAAATGAGGAAGAACACGCAAGCGAGGAAAAGATGCAGCAGTTTGCTTTTGCCTGGGCCAACTGGGAAGGGCAAGATTCTCCCCCTCCCCTCCACTCTTCTCTCTCTTCTTGAGTTAGTAGAGTACAAAATACTTTTGCACTTTGAACTCAGTTTGCAGGAACAGAAGTAAACTGAGGACACAAAGAGGAAAAGGCAGAGGAGGAGGAGAAAAAAAACTGGGAGATTTTAAAAGCAGATGAGGAGCCAGAATGGCGCAATGCTTTAAGCATTGGACTCCAACTCTGGAGACCAGGGTTCAAATCCTGGTTCAACCATGTAAAACC